GGCGGCGGCGGCGGGAGCTCCGGCCTGGCCGCCTCGGGCTGTGAGGGAGGGCGGTGGGGCGCTGCCGGAAACGGCGCCTTAGCACAGATCCGTGGCCGCGGCCCTGGTTTTCCTTTTCCAGAGGTGCTGGCAGCCTGCAGCAGCCGCGGCGGGAGAAGCCCGTTTCCCTCAGTGCCAGTTCATATTTAGCAGCCGTGCCTGACTCGACAGCAGCCATTTTGTGCCGTTACCCACCGAAATCTTGTCTCTCCAGCTGCTGCACCCGTTCCTGCAAGTTCACCGCTAACTGCTGGGACTTTCAAGCCTTAAAGATCGCAGTCACAGCGTTTCATGCACGGCTGGGACCATGATGAAGCATCTTCTCTCAGCGTGCTCCCATCCTAACCTCCCAAGGAAACCCCAGGGAACGGTGAATGCCCAAGCTGTCCGCTCGCTAAAAATACAACAGACCCTGAAGGCCAAATCAAAGTTGTAAATTCAGTGTTTCGCATTACAAGACGAAGCCAAGCTTTTGGTCATTTGTTATTTATTACATGCGTAGCTGTACTATACGTCCATCATTTTTAAGGAATAATGTCGAGGAATGACAAGTGTACACAGAAATTATGTTTAAAAGCTAAACGAAAAGAGCACCGAAACAACTCAAAATGAAGAGAACAGAAACAACATAACACCACAGCCCCATCACCAGTTAAGCGTTTACCTTCTAGTCAGTTTATAACAATCCACAGCAATATTAACAAGTTTCATATTTATCAGGGAAAACATTCTACAATCAAATACATGCAAATAAATTAGTTACACGATGGTATGAACATGTCTTTATTAAAAAAGACAGTAATTTGCAGTAAGAGAAAATACATGTGTATATAGGTACACACATGCAAACGCAAACCATATATATGCTTTCGTAAACAGATATTTTATAATTTGATGTATTCAAGACTTTGTGAAAAATAAAATTATGTACATATCTAAAATCTTAACCGGCATACATTCTTTTAATAAGAATCATGAATCCTTTCTCTGACTGCAATGTATATAATTTCAGACCATGTGTATAAAGAAGATACTGCACTATATTAATAGCTTAATGAGGCAGTTACAACACACAAAGATTTGAAATAGTTTAGCCTTTTATAGCATGGACAGATTGCACAGTTTTCTGGTGAAAACCTGATGTTATAAGTATAAAAGAGAACGATCAGTGTCTCGTGCGTTATTAACACTAGATGGCATGTGTTCTACTTTTTTAAGAATAATACTTTCTGGTTTATAAAGTTTACCTTGGTCAACTGACCAAATTTCAGGTGCTGAGTCTTCACCCATACAGGCTTCTGATAATGTTTCTATTTTGGACCAATTATGGTCTTTTTTGGTTGCCAGATCTATTAAGAAACTTCTCCAGTGAGCATTCCGGTCGTGAATCTAGGAAGAAGGAAAAAGGGGGGAAAAATATGGCTGAAGTTTTTCTAACAGTATTTTTAACAACTGAGGATTTAATCAAGCTCAAAATCTAACAGTGCTAATGTTAACTCTCTGATACTGTGCTTCAATGTGCTAACACAGGCAAAGCAAAAAACTTTGAAATACAAGAACAGGTTTGTTTTACTAACTCTGCCCTGCTTTTCTGGCTGGAAGCGCTTCTAAAAGAAGCTAGATTTTTAGTGTATAGGCAAACTTTAGACTTAAAAACTTGCAAGTGGAAAAAAACCTGTACGCTCTCTCTTAGCAATCACTTCAAGAATCCAAAGGTCTCTGAAAACAGCTAATCTCAGCAGACTATTTTCATTCAGTATTGGAACTCTGTAAATATGTAAAGTCATATTCATGTACAATATGAAGGCATTGTAAACCGTCACGTTACGACCTTTTTTCTCTAATAAGAGGCTTAAAAGACTGAAGAAACCTTAGTAATAGAAAACGTGATAGTATCCTATTTGTTAAATTAGTAGTAAACATTTTAAATAGCTACTGTCCTTCCTCATGTGTTTTCGTAAGATTAGATTTCCCTTTGAAGACAACGATACAACTATTTGGGAAATGATTGGTCTGACTGTAGGACCTGCTGTGCTCTTGGACTGAGGAAAATTCTACGCACTTCAGAAATGTATTTTTAAAAGCCGTACCTAGCTAGCAGGTTAATCTCCAGGCCCTAAACTTCATTCTTCTGTAACTTCTTTTTCGTAAAGATCAGAACTTAAGCACCGGTATGAACCCTCGGTAAGCCAAGGAACTTCATCCAGCTAGAGAAGTGTAGCCCATAGTTAAATGTCACTACCACGATTCGATTGCCAAAAAGATATTTGAGAGGCAGCGTACCAACACATGTCTCCGCAAGGTGGACATATCTGCAAAGGTTTTCTCGCAAGCTCTGCATTTATATGGCTTTTCCCCAGTGTGAATACGCTGGTGGCGCCGGAGAGCACCTTGCTGCGTGAACGTTTTTCCGCATTGTTCACAGAAGTATGGACGGGTCTCTGAAAACAAAACAGAAATCTCAGACTTTTCAGACAGGTTCTTCAGGGACTTCAGTGGACAAAAAGAGCATACTGAACTTTATACAAGAAGTTTGAAAAGAGCAACAGTGGGATAAAGTGGTGCACATAGGAACATGCATGCTTTGGGGCCTTGGTTTCTAAAGTTACGTGATGAACGTGTCTAGTCTTCCTTGCCTGAGAACAGCTCCCTGGTCTTTCAGGGGAAATAGTAGCGATTACAACAGCTGTCTGCTCTAACATCTTTCAACAGCACAAAACAGGCTTCTGTCCTCTGGGCAAGTGTCATCTGTCTTCTGCTCTGACCTTATGCTTTCCTGCACGGACTGCAGTAGAGGCGAGAAACAGGAGGGGTTCACGGGCCCCAGACTGTTTTAGTCACGCTTTGAGGGGAACAAGCACAAAAACATTTGCAGAATCAGGGCCTTCCAGGGGGATTCACGGTCTAATAGTCAAGCTCCTCACTATGCATTTGGTCCGGTTGACGTGTATTCTCCACCCTGTATCAAAAGAGACAATCCAATCTGATACATAAAAATACCGCCCTATATGAAAACAAGATCGGATACGATACAAGATGATATCATGTCCTGGTTTAATAAGTCAGGATCAGCATGAACCCTGCTTCTCCTCATCACCTAATTCAAGGAGCTTATAAAGTGGTTCTGGAATAAAAAGTTAGCATCCAAACTGTAAAAAGAACTTCATATCCAAACTTCCAGTGCTGTTTATTCTCCACATCATGATTTGTTTCATTACCTGCATGGACGTTACTGTGCTGGGCTAGCGAGGCTCTCAATCCAAACGTTTTCCCACAAACCTCACATTTGTATGGCTTAGCCCCCATGTGGCATCGCTTGTGGCATTTTAAGTATTCATTGGTAGTAAAATGTTTTCCACACACATCACATTTAAAAAGGCGCTCTCCTGAGTAGAAAGGAAAAGGCATTCTAAACTCTTTCAGCAGTTTCGCCCTGTAACTTCTTCCTGACCAAGTTTTAAAGGTTCTTTCCTGCATGTTCATCTCCCTGATGCTTTTAACACACTCAGATATTTCTCTTCTCCCGAACTGTATACTTCATATAAGCTTTAATTTTTTGACTTCCATATGGCTTTGTTTATCCCTTGGTTCTGTCTTTAACCCTCTGCATACCCTGTGTCCCTTGTGACCTCACTCACTCACTTAACCCTTAGTTACTATTTCAGTGCACAGGAATCTCCAGTTCCCCATACTATCTTTCTGTTCAGTTTTGTACTTCAAAGTTGCCTTTCAAACGTCTTTCTGTCCCTGAAGGTTCATTCCTGGTACTTGAAATCCCTCTTATGAGTTACAAAAATGTATCTTCAACTCCCCCTTAGCTCTTTCCAGGCAGTAACAGGAGTTGAGCTTGCTCTTTCTTCTGTGGATGTACTCAATAGGAGCAGACAGAAGAAACACGGGTGTTTAATGCCTACCTGTATGGGTCCTTTTGTGGCTGGTGAGTTTGCCTTTATCAACAAAGCAAGCCCCACAGTCCTCACAAATATATGGCTTTTCCCCTGTATGGGACCTAAATGAAGTGAAACACAAATGATTATTGATAACATAGTTCTGATACGCTGTTCTTAAAATACTGCATCTGAAATTATAGTCTACACATTACAGGCAACATACTTACATATTTTAAATGAAGGAACTGCAAAAAAGTACATTCTGCTCAGTCAGGAAACAGTGTTTATCACTATCTGTGCTACACTAAAGATTTCTGCAGACCCAGATCCCCGGGGGTAACTCTCTGTTGCTTGATTACAGAACTAAACCATTCCTCTTCGCTAAAAAAGCGGGAGAAGTTTTAGCATAAATAGTTACTTAGAATTGAATATGTTAGTCTTCAAATGGAGCGAAAGACAGTCGCTCCGTTAAATTGCATCAGACTAACTGAGGAACGGGTCCTCTTAGGGGACTGGTGAACCCACACTTTGCTTCAGGCCATTCCTTTTTTTCCCCTTCCTGCCTCGAACTGTGGCCAAAAGACTGTAAACACTGTCCTGTTCTGGCTGTCAACTGAGGCCCATATTCTACTTGTCTGTGATACTCCAGATACCAGTTAATTTTGGGGTACTCACAAGAGACTCTTTGGCTTGCATCTGAAAGAAAAATGATCCACTGAAATACAGCAGGTATCCATTTGATGGATATTTCTGATCTCACAAAACAGAATCCCAGGGCTTGTTCTCAGCTGATACAATCCAGTACAGCTTCTTAGGATCAGCAGAGTTTTGTCAGTGAATTTTGGTTATGGTCCTAAGCTAGCTGACTGATCTTGGCTATAATAGTGGCTTTCAAAAAATTGAATGTCACTCTTTGGTTTCCATTTAAGGGTCTACTTTGCCCCACTTTCAGGCCCTGAAAACCCCCCCCTTTTCTTTCAAAGGTTATAGTTCATAGTATGAGCATTGGAGGCATAAGTCAGGAAGATAACAAGCTGCTGCTGTTAAAGACAGAAAGCATATCCAGATTATCTCTGGCACGATGCCAGCAGCAGTTCTCTCAAGACGTTCTGAGCCATATTCTTGGCTTCTGTAAATCCCTCAGGCCTATACCCTTTGGCCTGCAATTTTTTAACTGAGTAGGATGTTCCTATTTTTAAGACTAACGGCGCTACAAAAAGTAAGGCAAGGTGTGTTTCAGAACGCATGCTGGAAACCTGATTTTAAACTAGCTCAAACCAGGGAAAGTCTGAGCCAGGGATCCTAACGTTTTAGCTTAATACTGTGCTGACTTTCCTTATTCCAATCCAGACTGTATGATGCGTAAAATAATGCATGATTTTGAGTTGCTGGGCAAAATGCTGCAAATTGGAGACAACCAGTTACCAAACACAAAACCCATGTGTCACTGCTTTGTTGGAGTTGTTCCAAATTTTCAGGTCACGTTTTACACTGCAATAGGTGAGCGTAGCTCTGTTGTGTTTCAGCTGACGGGTATCTTGATATTTCATATGTTTTACCACTACAGAATCAGCATACCTCCCAGTTTTTTTAATCATTGTAAGAACACTCAAGAGAAAAGCTACTGTCCCCGTTGTACAGGTCTGCAGTCTAATGATGGGATTTCTCTCACCTAATTTAGCCCTCCAACAGTTAATGCCCTATTATAAGTTATCTGCTAGACTCCCTGTTTGGAGAAAGATGGGAAATTCCATGGGATGATTCATATTCTCCTGGGATAGGATGCATTTAACATAGAGAGCAATTCATCCAGTCTAGCTCCACTGACTGTAGAGGGAGCCCAGATGAGATGTCCAGCTTTTAAATAACATAGGGGAAATGAAATCCCACGCTCACTGACTGGCTCAGAGTGATACAGAAAGAGCAGAGCTCTAAACCTTGGTCTCCGAGGTCCTGAGCTAATTCTTCAGCATATGCTGCTTTACATCAGCAAAGGCCATCGTCTTATTTTCAAGTCTCAATTTCAAATGATTGGTTTTTGCTTACAAGTTTGGATGGAGAGTCTTTTTCAAAATCTCTACCAAAACTGCTGTAATGACTATATGTAGACATAGCCTTTATGTAAAAGAATTATCATGGATATTACAGATTAAATGCCAGTGTTCCTGTCAGAAGGACACCCAAGGAGAATGACTCAAAACTACAAATTCAGAAGAGGAAAAAAGTGCTGAAATACACTATGCATGCAGGATGTAGTAATGGGAGAAGCAGTACTTTAGGCTGACCTGGTATGGATCTTAAGCTGTGACGGTTGAGCAAATTTTGAACGACAAACGCCACATTCGTAAGGTTTTTCTCCTGTATGTGTCCGCATATGAAACACTAGTGCTGTTCGGGAGCTGAGGATCTTCCCGCAGACAGAACAGAGAGGGCGTTTGACTCTACCTTCATGCTTCCGCATATAATGTGTTCTCACATCTCTCTTTCTTTTAAAAGTAGCATTGCAAAGGGTGCAGGCAAACTGCCTTTCTTCAGTGTGGACGCATGCTCGGTGCTCTTTCCAGCTGTTGCAACTAGCAAACGACTTGCTGCAGATGTCACATCGATAAATTTTACCAGGCAAGCATTGATGGACATCTCTGCAGTGATCCACATACTTTTTCCGGGAAACAAACTGCTCATTACATTTATCACATGTTATTACATAGGCAGATTTCTTATTCACCCCATTTTTAATTACCTTCTTTATTTTAAAGTCATCATCTGACTCAAGTTCTTCAGCTTCCTTCTCATTAGAGTATTCATTACTCTCCTCCTCCTCCTCCTCCTCCGTACAGACCTCCTCATTGTCCTTACTGTCTTCAACTTCCAAATACCCTGCTTCGTAATCTCCCTCCTGCTCTCCTTTCATGCTCATTTCACCTTCATCTTCCTTTCCTTCTCCATTCCCTTTTCCCCTTCTTGCTTCACTGTCTTTATCCTTCCGCTTCCTTTCCTCTTGACCATTGCTACAATCTTCTTCGGTAACAGATGAAGCTGCAGGTTCTTCCTCACAACTGGTGGCCTCTCTGTGCCTCACACACCTTCGTAGTTCAGCCTCTGGTGTCCTGTCCCATGCCTCTCTGCCAGCATCTTTTTCACAGTTTGTTGCATTTGGTCTATGTGCAGGTGGAACTACCATCCAATAGACTGGCATAAGTTTCCTTCCTTGCCCAGATTCATGGATTTTTCTGTTAAAACAAACAACAGAGCACAACTTTAATAGGTTTAATTGTTTCAGATTAAACACCTGTATGGAAAAATAAAGCAGATCCCCTTGTAAGCAATCTGCTGTAGTGGTGAACTCTATTTACCACTAGTCAGGATGTGGAACATGCACTGCAGAGGTTTTAAGAACAAGTTAGACAAACATCTGCGGAAATAACATAGGTAAAGCTGATACTACCTTAGCGTACATGGATGCACTGTATGACCTCTTATCGGCCCCTTATGGACTGAATTTCTATGCTTCTGTGATTGGAGACTAACAGATGCATTTTTCCAAATACAGCATGAGGTCCTCCTGGCGAACTTTTGATTATTATATCAATAAGTTCGAAGTGTCACAGCTTTACATATGCACTGATCTCTAGATACTCCTTAAATAAGCAATTCTACTTGCCACTTTTGATTTAGAAACACTTTTTGTACAGTTCTCAAACTAAGAAAAGCACAGATTTGGACTACAGGTCAAAGAGGGGTCACAAAGAGAAGATTTTTTGAAGGAGATTGGCCAAATACTGCTTAAATACAGGCAAGATTCTGCAGTTACTTGAGAAAAGACAGATGTTTCTCTTCAACTGAAATATTAAGGATTTCATTGCATACCAAATTTCTCCAGGAGGTATCAGGCACTGCTCAGCTCTAGGACTTGTTCTCACTGGAAACAAGGGTGCTCACGTACAGGACAACAAAGCTAGGGCTTTGTATCTTCATTCTAAACTTTAATACCTTGACAGTAATGTGAAAAGATGAGAAATTTGTCTGAGAAATGCATGTTTGCTTGGTGTTTAATTGAATTAGGTGCGTCACACCACACGTCTGAAAGTCACGTTCAGTAACGCTCCTAATTATGTAGGCAGACACACAATGTTGATTTTGTTACTGTTTGCGTTGGTGGATCTCTACGGCCGTTTATTTTTCTTAGTAGATTTGTGCAATATAATATCCCTGTCTCTGACTAGAATCTACCAGCATGACTATCATACATATAAATACTAAAATAACATTTTTATTTCTCTTTAGTAAGACTGCACATTTCCTGGCTGCCATACCTGTTCTATGATAAACTGCAACACAGATCACTTACACGATAATTAAAGGCCAGATTCTAACAGCCCTCCTACCTCAGAGGAGAGAGATCCCTATGGCTAGTTTGCCTGAAATCAAGATTCAGCATGCGTGAGTTAGCAGAAACTGTGCCCTCAAGGAAAGAGTCAACCATTCCTAGCCTACGTTTGAAATGCTAATAAGTACAGTTTTAAAATAATTTTTCTTAGGGATTACTGCACGATCCCTCTGTGTGTAGTTCAGAACTGAAGATAATCCAAAACATGAAGCACAACGCCACCTTAGATTTCGTCTGCAAAGGACATAGCAGATACGTAGAAGAACAGTATGGAGCAATCGCTAACGCTTTATGAGTCTGTGGTTACCTGGTCTTGCCACTTTTTTGTTCTTTCCCCATTTCATCATTTCTTAAAATTGTTTTGATAATATTTTCCTGTAATTTAGCCCTCTTCATCTTCTTCTTCATGGAATTCATTTCAGAACCCAACTATCTATTTTCTAAGTCCTGCTCCTTTGCCTCAGTATCTTTCCTTTCTTTTTAAATGAACTGGTGCCAAACATACAGGTTTTCAGCTGTGAATTTTGTTTTTCTTCCTCCAGAAACAGACAGTCTTGGGTCTTTTCACATATAGACTCTTAAAACGTCTTCTGGTGGCAGAGTATTATTAGCATTTATTAGATGAATTATGAAAAATCTCTATAGAAAGTATTGACATATATGAAGAAAACTAGAAAAGCTAAAATTACAGAGTCAAAAAAGCCAGAGACTTCACAGAAGAAAATTAAGACACTAGCAAGTAAACCTACGAGATACGGATCAATCGATAGCATTGCTACAGGCTTCCTGTGTCCTCCCAAGCAACACAGAGTGAAATAATATCACTTCCTTTGCCTGTCTTCTCCATTTAGATTACGAAAAAGGGAAATGCGCTTCAGTCTGTGTTTTTACACTATGTAGCACAAAGAGGAAGCTGAGAGAGAGGAAAGAATAACATGCATATGAAAAGATGAAGTCCCTCTAGCTGTCCTCCCTTTATCAAGTCTCCTGCTGCAAGTCAGCTGTGCCGCTCCAGCCACCAGTTAAAAATCCTCTGTGCGCTCAGGAAGCCCGTGTTAGGACACCTGTAGGAATACGTACACTCAGAGAAGAGACAGATATTTTAGGGGCATGTTGGCATTGTTTACTTAGGGTTAATTCCCTTTCAAACTGGGGCTGTAGAAAACACCTTTGTATTTTGCCTTTAGGTGTTGGCATAGCTCACGTTTCAGAGGAGGCATCTAACTCCATGATTCAGAATTAGTTCCTTTGTCTTGCCCTGCGTGGTTGCTTGTAATCACGGAGCGTAGCATCCTCCAGCCTGGGAGTGTTCAGCCCTGCTTCAGGGATTTACAGCTCTACTCATGAATGCAAAAAGGTCACTGTCCTCCGCTACTTTCAAGATCAACTCCCAGCTAAAGGAGCAGGGATCACTGCAGCCTCTGCAGAGGGAATCTGCAAACTCAGGTTCCTTCATGCTTCACCTTGGGGATCTACACAAAATGAAACAAGGTTATTTTACAGCAGATTGTGAGCAAGAATTCATACACGTTACCAGGACTGCAGAAGCAGTCCTTGAAACTGCTACAGAAGCTGGTCACAGATTCCAGGAAGGAAGAAATATTTCACTCCCTCTAAACTATGGGGAGAAAACTCAACAAGAAAATAAACGAGGAAAGGAACCTAACTTACTCTCCTCTGAGCTCCCAATATTCTGAAAATGTCTTGGAAAGCAAAGAACTTCTTTCTGTTAATAAAGTCCCATTAAAGGACTGTTGGGGGAGGGCAGGGGGTGTCATATCTTATTAGCTTTGCAAAGAGTTCCTCAGATCTTTTTCCCTTTGCTCTAACCTGGCTGTACAACGGCAGCTAAATCACTGCCATTAGATCCACTGCTATTAGGCTCAGGGTGCTGGTCTCATGCAACACAGCACAAGGACGCCTTCAACTGCTTCAAGTAACACAAGAGGCTAAACTAGCCCTGAACTGGCCTTGGGGAAGGAAGGTTTGCAAAGGTGCAAAAAGCCAGGGCAACGCTATTTCTCAATGCTGGGATTTAGTAAATGCCACGTGGACCTTACTTTTGCTTTGAGTGAAGGTCAGCCACAGCCATGTGGTCAGCCTAAAACAGCATCCGGAAAGACAGTGCTTAGATTTACTCATTGAAATAGCAGGGACTCACAGCCATGTTCAGTGCAGATCATCCTGCATTTTGCTAGTTACTAGAAAGGCAGGAAATATGGCTGTATACATGCCTCACTCTTTCTCCAGGCTTCAGTTACTATTCAGACAAGATGCTGAGTTAGCTGAGCCCGTGTTCTGATCCAGTGCCATCATTTTTATATACTGACACTGTATTCCTTCCTAACCTATCCATCCCCTGTCCTTTCTCTCATCCCTTCCCTCTCTTTTTACACTCTCCATTTTTTCTCTTCGCTGCAGTTAAGTCTCATGCCTTCCATACAATACAGTGGCTTCCAGTCAAACAGTTAATGCTGACATTTTTCCGAATACTAAAACCTCAGTGAAAATAAAGGGGATAGGTAAGTTCTCACCTTTAAACACTGGCCTACAGATTAGGCAAAAAGTCAGAGCTATATCCATTGCACTGGAGACATAGCTGGGAGATTTTTTTGGCTACTGAAATGAACTAGCAATGATTTTTAGATGTTTTTACAAGGGAAGCTGGAATCCAGTATATCTCCTATACCACACAGGGAGGCTACTGAGACTTTTGACATGTGCAGTAGCTTTTGCAGCTCTGGAAACTCCTGTGCAATTTCAACATCTTGTTTTCAGGCAAGCAGTGCTTAATAAGCCTATATAGAAGCTCATGCTACCTAGCAAAACACCATGCAGGATATTTGGCCCATGAAAACCATACTGAAAAGCATCAGATTGCCCTTTCATTTATGAAAGGGGCATTTTCTTGTTCATTTTAAACATTTTCAAGTCCCTATTTAAAAAGCCAGATCTGAGGCTTCCAAAAGTCCTCTTTGATTCAGCGGGAAATACTTGTCTAAATTCTGGGTGCAGTTTGGGAAACCTCAACACAGTATTCTGGACTAAGAGCTTGATGAAGTCAGTGGAAAAAAAATCTGTGTTGATTTTAACACGCTTCTGATCAGGTCCAAGGACTTCTGGAACTGAAGCAATCAGGATTTTAAAAATGCATTTATCCTGGTGCCCAGAAACAAACACATTTGCTTGCACACACACACTCACGCAGAATGCTGTACCTTACATGAGTATTGTAAGCAGATCTCTGAGCAAAGCTTGCAGGGCACTGTTCACATTTATAAGGTTTCTCCCCCGTGTGCGTTCGTATATGGACTGTCAGGCCACACTTGGAACTGATAACCTTGTCACAGTATGGGCACGCCTGGGGATCCCGCTTCTTTTCATGCACTCTCCGGATATGGTCGTTTATGTCCTTCTGGCGCTTAAACCTCTTGTCACAGAACATGCAGGAGAAGCATCGCTCATCATTGTGAACAGTAAGCAAGTGCTGCCTGAGGTTCTGGTGACTGGAGAAGAGCTGGTCGCATATGTTACAGCTGTACTTGACAGCAAGATTAATGTCATGCTTGAGCTCCATGTGTGACCGATACTGCTTGATGAAATGGAACGATTCATTACACTTCTCACATGCAATCCGTGGCAAGACTTTTGCCACATGCCGCGGTGATTTCCGACGTTCAGTTTTACTGGCAAGTTTGGAAATTAAACTGTTTTCATCTTCCCACTGCTCAGGCAGCGTGTTTCTAATTACTACACAGGCTTCCTTTGAGTCAGTCTGACTTAAGAGTGAATGACTAGTCTCATTTCCCAGACCAGTGATACTCATGCTGATTCTCTTTTTGGTATCTGTCTTGTTACATTTTGGTAACTTTGCTCTCCTAGGTTTTGATTCTGGAAAAGCAGTGCCCGCTTGCTCAAGATTTGCTGGTTGGCCGTCAATGAGTTCATAGCCAGCCAGCAACTTTCTATGTTTTCGCCTGTGCCAAAGTTTCCTCTGTGTGTGAGGCATAGCCACAACTTGGGAAGAGTTACTTAGTTTGCGGTCTTCCTCTTGCTGGATGCAAGTCCACTGTGATCCACCATTTTCACATAGCTGACCTTTCAGATGGAGGCTCAGATCTAAACCTTTCTTGCCCTCTGCCCTCACTTCTTCGCAAATATCAAGTAAATCCTTGCACTCAAGTCTTTCAGCTATTTCTTTCATCCGGTGCAATTTTTCTGCTTCAATCTCTACCTCTGCAGTGTAAACAAACTCCAGAAAGGAGGTGAACTCTTCTGTGTAAATGTCTTGTAGAGTCACTGTGCAGTTCTTAGCGTCCAACATTTCATCATGCAGAAAAAGCCCCTTAAAATAGTTGCTGGAAGCTGCCAAGACAGCTTTGTGAACCAGAAACTCCTCCTGAATTCCTAGATGTTCTGTGTGAACTCTCACATCACAGAGGTGACCGAACTGGTACAGAGAATGCAGTGCCCGCAGGAGGTTCGAAGCAGCAACCTTGGATTTCATTAGAATTTTCTTTTTCTCCATCCTGCCAGAAAAAAAAAACAAGACAGATTTTTGAATGTTCTCCCTCTTCCATGAGTTATTTTTTCATTCATATATGACATCAATCACTTTCGTAAAAGGCTCGGTGGAGATCTGTGCCCCAGTTTCTAATTTGCAAACCATGGCAAAGACCTCAAGGTTACTTCTATTAAAGCAGCTGCCTTCAACACACACACTTTCTTACTGTCACAGATTTAGATTTACACGCCAGGATAATCCTTCAGAGTGAATATTCTGCAGCACAGCCGGTGACAGTAACGACATGCAACACAATTGGCCCAGTTTAATAACAAAACACTCTTTATATAAACATTTTTCAACAGTAGAGATCACAACAATTTATCGTAAAAACAAGCATTTTTCACCATCCCTCTTATACTGATAGGGGAACTGAAGCATAGCGTGTTGCTTCCAGTTGTTTCCAAGCTCATGTTAGGAATAGAGCCTATGTTTTCACAGTCCTGAACCTAAGCTCTACTCACTGCACTAAGCTATTCCTTGTGCCAGAATAGGCAGATAAATCTAGTTCATTTTTATTTCTTTTCTTCCATGAAAACAATCATAGCTGGAGGTTAACAAGAATTAGTAAGTGTCTACTGTATCTGGTCACTTAAAGACATGCAGAGAATATACAAGTGTTAACGGTGCTAACTGACACTGGGAATATGCAGAGGTAGATGACACTGCTCTGGAAGCAAGGTTATTAGACGTTTATTACCTTGAAATCCCTGAACCGCAAGGGGAACCTCAGGAACCTTGCAGGGAAGCGAGCGGGCTGTCCCAGGCACCGCAGAGCATTGGCCCGTGGCAAGGTTCAGGGGAGGGGGGGGCATGGGTTTAAGGAGAATTAATAAGCTACAGTATGAGGTACTACGCATGCGCCACAGGTAACAAGGGAAGCCGTAATTCTTTAGGTATATACACGTCCAGACCAGCGCCTATGTGGTGCAAGTCGAAGGGCTGCGCCCTGCTGCTCCTCATGGGTTCTGCACACCAAGTGCTTTGGCAGCTGGAATAACCGATCGGTCAGCGTGCTCCTGTCTCCTCGCCAGTCTTCCACTCTTTACCCACTACAACAAGGATAAAAGACTTATCTAGAAATAGCTAATTTTTTTGAGGAGGTAATAGGATTTTATTTGAAAAATATTTCAAAACTGTTTGCTCATTTTCAGTCAACAAATGCGGGGCTCAAAAGCCTTCTCAATTCCAAAAACAGTTTTTCCTAAACATTTTCAATTGAAAAAATTGCTTTTCTACCCAGCTCTAGATATGGACACTAAGTATTATTCCAAGAAAACAGATGCTTCAGAGCTCTGTGGCTTTCCTCTCTCAACCCATATATGACACCTATACCTCTGGAACAAGGAATCTCATTTACCCTTGCCTATAAAGCACAACAACGATGCTATAAGCCTTACTGAGACCGTTAGCTATTCCCATAATAGCAGATGCTTATTAATACTGTCCAAATTTTCTTCAAGTCCATTATTATTACTCAGCAGCAAACAGTTACTTTAGTACACTTCCACTCTAAAAAGTTCTATTAATGAAGTATAAAAAGTTTTATTAATGAAGTATTAAAAGTATGCTCCTACTGGGTAACTGAGCTGAGATAAATGATAAAGAGGGGCTTTCACCTCTTCAAGGCAGAGTATTTTATATAAATCCAGTTAACGCATGCTACATCTCAGCAACAGAAACCCTAAACTAGTCACTGTTGGTGGGATTCATTTTACTGAGCTGAAGAGATCTAAGCTGCAGCCTCAAAATGATGGAGACAAGGAGACAGCTCCAACTCCAAATACCATTGTCATGGGAGATACCTGCAGGAGTCACTCACAGATACACAGCACTTTGCTCGGGGAGATTTTTCTGCGATAGTAGATAGAGCTAAGCATCCAAACTAGCCATCCTGAATCCCCTTAGGTAATGGGAAGAAACTGGCACCTCTAAGGTGAAAGTCACTGCCTCCTAGTAGGTCCACAGCAGGACCACATGGCAGGTTCTGCTTTTCTCAGTGTGCTGTTCAGAGAAATCCCAAAGACATCTCCAGTGCGATGGCAGCCAAGTGCTGCTAGCTGTTTTGAAAACCCAAGTTGCTATGATCAAAATGACTGTCTTAAATCACACTGCGGTCACCAGGGACAGGATCCACTTTGCAGAATATTTATCATTTACAATGTAATGACCCACCTCCAGGCTCATCGCTACTTGCTCCTGCCATGGTCAGTGGACAGGAACGAGCAGTTCTACGGTGCAGTTCAGCTAATATATTTTACACATTTACTGTAGGATGAAAGGAATTATGCCTGCATACCTTTGACTAAACTGCTCTTCTGTATAAAGTCAGGCTACAGGGACTAGGTCAGATGAAAACTCTCTAATCAGAAAATCCCACCCCACCTTGCTAAGGACATGAGTAAAGCATACTCAGCTAGTCCATCTGGTTGCAAAAATCAACTGTTCAGATGCAGCCCTAGACTATACCCATGATTCATGGCCGCTTTTGTGAATGTGCAAAAGATCTGAAGCCATGACTAAGAGGTGTAGATTTCTTCACTACTGTTCATCTTATTGGGAGTTTGACCTTTGAATGCAATGATATCTTACTCACCATTTATTACTTTATCACATAAGACACTGATATAACAGAGAAGAGGGAGAAAAATCACAGAATCACAGAATGGTTGAGGTTGGAAGGGACCTCTGGAGATCACCTAGGCCAACCCCTCCGCTCAAGCTGGGTCATCTACAGCACACTGCCTAGGATTGTGTCCAAATGGCTTCTAAATATCTCCAGCGAAGGAGACTCCACAACCTCTCTGGGCAACCTGTGCCAGTGCTCTGTCACCCTCACAGGAAAGAAGTTTGTCCTCATATTCAGCCGGAACTTCTTGTTTCAGTTTATGCCTGTTGCCTCTTGTCCTGTCACTGGGCACCATGGAGAAGAGTCTAGGCCCAGCCTCTTGACACCCTCCCTTCAGATACACACTGATAAGATCCCCCTACCCTCCTCAGTCTTCTCTTCTCCAGCCTGAACAGGCCCAGCTCCCTCAGCCTTTCTTCAGAGGAGAGATGCTCCAGTGCCCTCACCATCTTTGTAGGCCTCTGCTGGACTCGCTCCAGGAGTGCCATGTCTCTCTTGGACTGGGGAGCCCAGAATTGGACACAGTACTCCAGGGGAGGTCTCACCAGGGCTGAGGAGAGGGGCAAGATCACCTCCCTCCACCTGCTGGCAACACTCTGCCTCATGCACCCCAGGATCCCCTTGGCCTTCTTGGCCACAAGGGCCCATTGCTGCCTCATGGTCAACCAGTTGTCCACGAGCACTCCCAGGTCCTTCTTGGCAGAGTTGCTTTCCAGCAGGTCAACCCCCAACCCGTCCTGCTGCATGGGGTTGTTCCTGCCTAGGTGCAGGGCCCTGCACTTCAGGAGGTTCCTCTCCGCCCAGCTCTCCAGCCTGTTGAGGTCTTTCTGAATAGCAGCACAGCCCTCTGGGGTATCAGCCACTCCCCCCAGTTTAGGATCATCAGCAAAGAGGGTGCACGCTGTCCCTTCATCCAGGTCACTGACGAATAAGTTAAACAATACTGGTCCCAATACTGATCCCAGGGGACACCGCTAGCTACAGGCCTCCAAATAGACTTTGCACCACTGATTGCAACCCTCTGAGCTCTGCCATTCAGCCAGTTCTCAATCTACCGCACTGTCTGCTCACCTAGGCCGCACTTCCTGAGCTTGCCTATAACAGTGTTACGGGACACAGCACTGAAAGCCTTGCTGAAGTCAGGGCAGACAACATCCACTGCTCTCCCCTCCTCTACCCAGCCAGTCGTTCCATCAGAGAAGGCTAGCAGATTGGTTAAGCATGACTTTCCCTTGGTGAATCCATGCTGACTACTCCTGATCACCTTCTTATCCCTCACATGCTTAGAGATAGCATCCAGAATGAGCTGTCCCATCACCTTTCCAGGGATGGAGGTGAGGCTGACAGGCCTGTAGTTTCCTGGGTCCTCCTTCTTGCCCTTTGTGAAGATTGGAGTGACACTGGCTTTCTTCCAGTCCTCAGGCACCTCTCCTGTTCTCCACGTCCTTTCAAAAATGTTGGAGAGTGGCCTAGCAATGATGTCTGCCAGCTCCCTCAACAAAGACAATGACCACAGGAAGGCCCTTTATTTTTTATGTACATAGGGAGGAAATATAGAGAAATGACAATGGAAGACATAAGGAGAAGAAAAGGCTGAAAGAAAGGAGGACTGAGAAAGTAAGGGAGCTGGACAGAAATAGTGATAATACTAAAGATAAACTCACATATTCCCATCCAGTGACTGATAAACAACACTTCAATAGTAAAAGTAATACACAAATTATTTAGTAACTACCGTAGGAACAGATTGTGTTGTCTGTATTCATCTGCCACTAACAACAGGGAGAGAGTCACTAAAGACTGGGAGGAGTAGGGAGTTCTAAATACATACACCTACTCTACATACCATGATTAGAAAGAAAATTTGTTCCCTCAAAGCTGACATTCCTGATCTAGCAAACGCCTGTTATTTAGCACGTGTTTACAACAGTTCTGTAACCAAGGGAGGAACATTAGGACAAAAATAAACAGTTGAAGTAGTTTGCTATTACCTAAAGGTTCTGCCTGAGCTTGCCTTGCTGTAATTGATCCTCCCAGTAATAATGGGTGATAGAGAACTACACCAGGCTATATTTTCATTTCTCATCTGAATTACAAGTTTGACATTATATTAAAAACATTCCTAGCACATATAAACTGTGTGAATAAGAAGATCAATTTGTCTTCAAGATACAGTACCCCAAAGTCAATACCATACCTATTATAGAGTGAACAGGTTTGAACAGCAAGCTTAAAAGATAAGTTTTGAAAATACTCTTCCTATCACAAGCTACTGCAGCAAGTGCCACAAAGGATAATCATCTTCTAATCTGCAAGACATTAGTAATTCATAACTTGTGACATCCCAAATAATAAAACTGTTTTACAACTGTACACACGTCTTGGTTTTAAGATTTTCGAATGACTCCGTTAGCGTACACATGACATTCATAGGAAACAGCTGTAATTTCCACAGGACAAAACGTCTGTAAATTTGAGTTATGCAGAACCTTTAATATTTGCACTTAAATTGGGGTTTGATCCTGAGAACTCTTCCTTATAAGCCCCTATGAAGAAGTCCCACCCAAATCAGTGGGACTGCTTGGGACCTCAGCCTTCTCACCTGATTGGTACAGAACTTCCTTACTCCATATTCCTCATTGCTGGTGAGTTCAAAGATGTTGACTCAGAGAATAGGAAACAAAAATGTTATTATAGGAAAAACACTTCAGAAAAGTAAGTAAAAGAGTAAAAAGACATGTGCTGAAATATCCCATAGAAGCTAGAAACTGCGGGGAGCCTGTAAAATAGTGTTGTCTAAATTCTAGTAGAAAAGGACTGTTCATTTCCAAATTCTTACAAATATACAATACACAACACAACCGCCTTATGAATTCTTGAAAACAAAGACAATCTTTTCAATAAATGCATACAGCATTTTTGTTTTTCTCCTCATTTTGGCTGGAATCTTTGCAAACTGCTGTAAGCTGTATCTGTTACTTAGCATTTACAGTGCAGAAGCATATAAGGGAGAGCAGATCACAGCTTGCACGTGTCAGATGTTATAAAAGAAAACAGTGGATTGACTACGTTGCTCCAACAGACTAAGCAGCGTCTTCAAAAACACTTGCAACTCAATATCTGACAACTATTCCCAATCAGTGAAGAGCAGGTATGGGGAGACATAACAGATGCTACAGCGTACTTGCATGCTGCAGGAAGAAATGCAGATCCAGAGCTTAAGACTCATATTCAGTATACAAATTCTACTCTACTCAGGAGGGGGGAAAAAACAGGGTATGGGACAGCTTCATACCCTCAATGAAAAAAGGGAAAAGCTGTTTCCTTCCTTGTTCTTTACACTTCATTAAAACTTAATGACAAGAAAAGATGCTCCAGGATTGCTAATCCAGAGCAAATGGAATGAGGATGACAAATGTTGCAGTAAATCATTTACTTATCAAACCAAAGTGAAGGACATATTTTATCGTAAGGAGAATTACAGGTTAACGTTAGCTTGAAATAACAACTAAAAATTGAATAGGAAAAAATAGTGGTAACATCATTGATAGTATAAAGCTTAATTCTGTCCCTCCATGTCCAAACATAAGACACTCTGGACTGCATAATCCCAACTTTGGCTCTCAACTTAATCCATAAACCGACCATTCCTAGAGTTGCACCCCATCTCTTTTGCTCTCCATCGCTCTTGCCAACCCAGTCTTACAACGATCAACACTTCTCTCATCTGCTGTTCTTCAAATACACCAACCTAACCTGGCAGTCTGGCGTAACAAGCTCCTCACTGGTGACTCAGGATGGTCATGAAGGCAGAAAAAGGGCAATGCAACAAGACAAGTGCTCTCTGCTGCTCCACAATTTCTCTGATATTTTATCACATCCTCAGAAAAGCTCTCTGAGCTCCTCCAGGGAGGTGGTGGAGTTCTCACCCTACTGTGAGAAAGCTGCCACTAATCATTGTGGATCGTCTTGAACCACTTATTATTGCTCATGAAACCAGCAAGCAAAGAAGAACTGGTTACGGGTTAACAACCCTAATAAATACATTCTGCTGTACCCTGAAGCTACTTCTGAAATAGAAGTAGCAAGTTGCTAGTCTCCAAGACAATTTATTCTCAGGGAGAATATTTAAGAATAACATTTTTTCCAAATGTTGCATTTTATAGCTTTATAAGTTTTCAACTCTTTTTTGCTTGAATATTTAAGAGAATTCTCATGTAAGCAGGATTTACAGAAAACATAATTAATCTAACAGAACCACTGCAAACGGTAAAGCATATTTCACTTCAATTACAGTACTTAATAAGGCTTTTGGAATGTGTCCAGCTTTTTTCAAAAATAAATCCTAATAGTGGCTTCCAGTCTCCAACAAGTGATTTATATTTATGCTGTGTTATAGCACAGTTCTTTTATAACACAAGGAGGCAGTCAATAGCAAGTCTGTAATTCATTTACTGTGTTAATTATCTTGAAAACAGGAAAACCGGGTCTATAAAAAGGACAGCAAATACTTCTAAAATAGATTTTTTTGGCAGACTTTAGCTATTCACGTCTATTTCAAATTTCTACACTCCATCAGCTTTAACTGATGTAATATGGCATAGCCCTTTTGAAATGAAGGCAGTGAGGGTGCAGTGATTTATACACCCAAGTATTAGGGGAGAGAGGAGGACCCAAAACCCAACAACAGACCAGAGAACAGAATTCTTCAGAAGTAGGCAATTTATTTCACATACATATGCCATGCTTTTTTGCAAAGTACACATAATCTTTAATTGCTTGATCGCCCCTAAACCTGTTCAATTAGATCTTAAGTTTCTCTTCAGAGAAGAGAAGAGATTTCTTCCTCAACATGACTCATTTTCCCATGGAGGGCTTTTTTAAACTCAGAATAGCTGCATGTTTATGCACAATGAAGGGCTCTGCCAAGAGTCCAAATAGGAACACTGGAAATATTTACGGTGTTAGGAAAGAAAAAAAAAAAAATTGTGTTAGCATATCCTTTGCAGAAACTGCCCAAATACCCCTTTGAAGTGCTGGTGTGACATGAGAGCATGAAAATGTTCCTCTTGGTCCCTGGGCTGCAACTTTGCAAAATAAGACCAACTCGGGTAGATCGTAACAGCAATGCAAGCCCCCAATAATGACTGATAAAGGGAACCACTGAAAAGATGAGATTATACAGTCAAAGCTGCAGTACAGTAGATAGAATATTTGAGGGCACGCAAACTGCCATGAATAGAGGGCAGTAAGACTCACAAGACCTAGTTTCAACTCCCAAACGGGCCAGAGACTTTTTTTTTTTTAAATGTTTGCTTCAGTTCTTTTCCTATGAAATCAGGTTAACGTTTCTCTGTCTTACAGAAACAGCGCGATGATAAGATACGTTAGTGACTGTGAGATACTAAGAGGGCACAGCAAAAGAGGGCATTAAAAGGGGGCAAAAATAACAGCCGGAGTTACTCCACCGTATTGACAACTTGACTTTATTCCCACGAATTCCCGCACAACTCAGACACATGGTAAGTTTGGTGTCTGTCCACCAGAACTCCGCGAGAGCAGCAACACCGGCACCTGCAGCTCTCCTGCTGGTGTCCTGCTGCATATGAGGGTCACGTAAGGCAAAAAGCATTTTCTGCACAGAGCTGCAAATTCTGCCTCGCTTAAAAAAAATTTAAAAAAGGGACACTAGACGAGACGCACAGCTGGAAACGCTCGAAACTGGTTGGAAACGGTCTTCCTGTGAGAAAATCCTAGCTGACGGCACTTCACGGCTGGCGCAGCGTTCATACTCACCGTTCAGGGATACTCGCTAATACTCCCGGGCCAGGGCACGGCCCCCGCGTCACTCCACGAGTCACTAGCAGGGCTCAGCAGAGCCGTCTCCCGCCTCCCGCTGCCGC